GCGCAAAACTCTTGAGGCGTTTTGGATAAATTTCATAAATCCAAAGATGAACCATAAGAACGAATGCCTCACTATCACACGTGAGCTGGCGCCCTATTTCAAAATGATATTTTGACCCCGGGGTGTGTCTTTCTCTCAACCCCACGTAAACGACGCGTGGGCCAGTCACACTCGTGACATCACGGTGTGTAGCCTTCCTGTTCAGTATGGCCTCTATTTAAAGTATAATCTTCGTTAACACCTTAACCTTTTTTTTCACCGAATAATAAAAATATTCTAATTTAAAATACGTGCAGGCTCTGAGGAACACGAAGTGGGAATGCATACTCACTATTAGCACCCACTGCTTATCACTTGGTACAACGATAACGACAGCGAAGACCTGTACCAACCTCGCATCAGCTTAAGAAGATCAGTTTATAAGATTATATAAATAGATTTCTTAAAAAATTATTTTTTCTAGAAAATGTCTAATGGTCGTGAAAAAGAGGTACTCGAAAGGAAACCACACTTGACGTGTTCAGATCTGAATGAAAGACAGGTGGATCATCATAGCTTTTCGGAACGATGGCAAAGCAGCTTATTTACAGGTGAAACTGTCGAGATTCGAAGTTCTTGGCGGAATTGATAAGCAGGTCAAATTCGCATAGATGTAACTGTTGCCGTGGGCATTAATTATTACGTGCATACAAGTTATGAGATTTGTAGGGCAGCGGTTAGAGGTGCGCTGTAAAACATATGTGGTGATTGGTTCGATCACCCGTCTCAGGCTCACTAAGACTTGCATTGCTTAGGGTTTGTCAAATTGCTGCCAGACGTGTCTGCGAGGATAGCATCGCTGACTTTATACGTAGGTCAGATATGCATCCGATCAGCACTAACGGTGCTTAAAAATGAATGTTTGGCGTATCCCACAGTGATTGATTGACGTCGAACGCTTCATACTTTATTTCTTGGAGAATGTATAGTTCGATCCAGTGAGCTGAGACGGCAAGCCTCTCCGCTGAATCTACCTGCGTGTCATTGAAACCAAGGTATTCCTTTTCGACTTTAGACATTTCAACGATTTACGCCATCTTGAAATAGACCAAGTGAGCACGCCCATCAGAAAGTTCTTTGCATGACAAAGGTAAGCGTGAAAACAGGAAAAATAAATTCTGAGAATGCATACTCACTACTAGCACCCACTGCTTATCACTTGGTAGAATTACTGATTTCGACTTGCCCGCGCTGGCCAATCGCAGTCGCTTTGACCTCAAAGTTTTCTCGGAGAACTGATAACTGATTTCTGAAAATATGCAAATAAGAAAATTCCTATCTTTATGCAAATCCAGCCCTGATGACTCTACTCCTATTTAGCAAAATAGTTTTAGCTGTATGAATAGTCTGTATAAAACAGCGCTTCCGGATGAAATTGCCTCATTTGTGAGGTGGCCCACTGAAGAAGATCCGTCTCAGTACAACGACGAAGACGTCACATCGAGAAGACGAAAAACTATGAACCATTGACTCAGATCATCGGCCCTGATGAATATGAAGATGCCGAAACGTTAGCCGAATAAAACTAATATAACAACCACGTGTAAGCCTAACAATCAAAGAAAGTATTGATCAATACTATGGAGCTTAAATGACGATCGGTTTGAATTTTTTTTCTAGAGATAGTAATAGGGTATGATTTTGATTGTGTTCTAAAAAGGAGTACACAGCGCGCCCTCGCAGATTTTCATAGGCTCTCATAGGTCTTCCTGGTGTCCAAGTTCTTCTTCAGTTTTTTGTTATATCGATCTTATGCAATCTTTTTCCATGTACATCAAATCCGTTTGTCGGTACAGCTACAGCATGAAAACATATCCAATTTTTCCTCACTGAAACACTGAATGCTGATCGAATATGGTTACACTGGAACTCTAATCTAGTCGTTTAAGGATGTTTCCAGGTCTTCACTGCAAAGACACGCCAGTCTTTACGGATTGTAGATGTGGCTACTGAGTTAACAATGAATATTGAAGGTAGGCTAATTGGTGCCAAAGTTATCTGGTAAATACTTGTAGCGATCGAGAGGTCGGAGACTGATTGCGGTGGAGAAATAGAAACACTCCAGTAGAAGTGTCCTAGGATTTCAGGAAGAATTGATGCGGCAGGCATTCAACGGCTTTCATAAAGACCGTCATAAGAAAGACCAACAGTCCTCAAGCGGCAGCTGAACTCGCATTTAAATCCGAAACTCCTCGTGTGGTGAATGCAAGATAGCGAAACAAATGAAAGTGCTGGAAACTGCAACGTATGAGGATAAAAAGGATAGAGCACTCGGCGTTATCAGCGCCTTAGGGATGCGCCATACATTCGACTTCATTAAGCAACGTCTGGAGGTGATTGAATGCATATCTGGCTATTACAATGACTCGCGATGACCTACCGATGTATCGAGCCAGTGCTGCTATCCTCCCAGGCAAGTCTTGTAAAAATTTGCCGACTCCGGAGAGATGGAAGGCTTGGTGGGCCTCCGACCACTGCGCCACACGCGCCCTTTATGTATAAATAGACTGACCTTATAAATAAGTAAATAAATAAATAAATAAACAAATAAAGAAATAAATACATAAATCGATAAATAGCAGGATGAATCATCCAAAATCGCACAAGTTTGCAGTGTTGGCGGTTGTGCCACACAGCTGCTCTGCCACCCTCACCTTGTATCACCAGCTTCGCCTTATCAGTGATTCGGATAGATGGAGACCTAGCAAGCACGACTCCAGTTAGACCGTTCACATACCTGAATAATTGACCTAGAAAGTTTTGTTTTACTTCTCGCAGTATATTTTTTAGGAAAAGAAGAGGGATTTCTGCGCCACTATTAAGACGTTTCGAGGACATTTGGAGTAATCTGAGCATCAGCTGATTATTCATCAGATAGAGAAAATTCACGAACGACATTCATGGAAATCGATGAGGTTACAGTAATCCGCCGGTTGAAAAATAAGAAAAAATCAACTGTGCTTCACGACATTTTTGGTGAATTGTTTATTGATCGATATTGATTTATCCACCCTCACAAACTACGATTCTTTCGTCTGGGTATATCGAAGAAATCTTATTATTGTGCTATAAATTATTACAAGTACTGCAAAATGCCTCATGTTATGATTAAATCATGGAAATAAGGAAAATGTGGGAAAAAATCTGAAAAAGGTGTTAACACAGCGAGAAAACCTGATTGCCAACTACTAGTGAAAAAATATTTCCATCCAGGTGATATTATTTAGTAATAAATTTTTAGTAGTACAGTTGTTTATGGTAATATTACAGAAGGTATTTGGCAGTGTAATAGATAACAGAGGCAACGTTTCTAGAAAACAATATGTTTCACACATCCCAAAAAAAGAGCTTACAACGGATAAAAGCATTGAATGTCTGGTGTTAAATAATCGCTGAGAAATGTGCCATGCATTCGACTCCATTATAGGATGGTGGAAGGTGATTGTGCGTATTCGGAACACATAATATCTCAGGGTAGCCTGCTGTACCATGTCAATGTTGGTATTCTTTAAAACAGGCCTGCTGCCAGTGCCGACCACGAAGGGGCCAAAGGCTTGTTGAGCTCATGGTGCAGGTAGAACTAACGACCTATTTTAGTGTGTTTCAGAGCACGCTTAGCTATTGCACTACATGCGCTTCGGCACCACTACGAAGCCAAAAAATTTCGCATGTGTGTGATCTAGGTGTAGGTTTTGAGTATTCTCATTTTGTTGATGTTACTTATATAAATGGCTTAGCAAACGGGATGTTAGTTTGACCTCTTTTGATCACTGAAGAGGACTAAAACAGAACATCAGCCACTTTGAAGAAAAGTGTCGACGCTAAAGGATGAGTATACGACCACTCAACAGCCGTATCTTTAAGTTAACCACTCTGCTTTTAGTTTCACCTCTCAGCTTTGACAATTTTTTTTCGTTTCGCATTACTTGCAATCAGAGAAAAATGAAACCCCGTACCCCATGTGATCACTGGATCGGTTCTTGTAAGTGGGTGAAATGCGGCTTTTCTATTTAGCAAAGCTTACTAGTACGAGCTCTTTTCAGAGTTATAGAAATGTTATTCATATGAAGCACTCCACCCTCGTCAAGACCTGTGGCAGACCCAATGCATTCCACTCCATTCTTTGCATAATGCAAGTTGCTGAATTGGCCCATACAATAATTTGCGGTTTCCTATAGGTGGAATCAGTCTGGTGCAATATCTTTCCAGACAAGTCTGAGACCAATTATCCACCCAAAGAGAGATGAAGGACGGCTTCGGTAAGCTATGACGTGGGATCGAACTGGCGACAACATGTGTATGGCAGCGCACATGTAACCATTGCGCTCTATACGCATGCTTATGCAAATCACAGCGATAACAATGTTTAAGTTTTTATTTACCGCTTACTTCTTTTTCACGGCAAGGAATTTTGTGAGGGTTCACGGATTCGAATCTGGGCTGGGATTCAAGTTTTGCAAATGTCTCAACATCATTGCGGTTGATGATCACAAATCACAATAATACATGGTACACGAACGGCCGTCTAGCTCTGCGGGTCCCCAGCATAATCACCATTCTTTGGAAAATTACTGGTTAAGCTGTTGTGGTTTCCTGGAATCTCAAGGTCAGCCTGACCAAAGTCTACCCCAAGTCTTCACCACCACAGGCAGTCGCAGTTCTTGTAGATCAGAAGGAGATTTGCCAGCAAGCGACTAGTTTGATACCAGGACGGTGGTGGATCCTGGTATTGGACTCCTCTTAACTAAGCTTCCTAATGGAAACGCCGGACTCTTTTCAGCTTGGGAGACCCGCACGTTAGCAAACCAATTTATCCAAGAAATTCTAGAAGTGGTAGATTTCAAGGCACGATCCTGACTTATACGATATTCTTCTATTTTTTCACAAAGACACTTCTTTATTTCTTGTCTCTTATGCTTTCATTTTTTTCAGCTTTTTATCCACATGTGATTTTTATGTTGCTATTCTGCTAGTCTTTCCACGTGGATAGCTTTCATCATCAATTTCGACCCATCTTCCAACTTAAGAGAAAGTCGTCTTCTAGAGAATCTAGAAAACCGTGAAAATATGAAAAATTACTCAAAAAAAACAAGCGAATAATTGGATTTGTTAGGAAAGCAATGACAAGATATTACGGTAGCCTGACGCTAGAGCAACAAAGCACGACAGCCAACAATCTCCACTGGGATGTGTAATTCGTCAAAGTTGCGCCACCCTGACGGCTATCACGACCCATTGAAGTGCAGGCGGATTGAATCCCCACGGAGAAGAGAACGACAATCCCGTAAAATCTACCAAATCGTCCTCTTTTGCTTAAATAATCGACGAATTCTTATCGAATTAATCACAGTGGAAATCACATCTGCTCCAGTGGTAGCAAATTTTGTAGGCCAACCACATATTAGTGGGTTCGATGTTTTTCTTCAATAAGCAGACACGAGGTTGTTATTACAGAATTTATTAGGATACAATAGCCGACGTTTCGGCGGTTTCGCCTTTTTCAGAGACTGGAAAGGTCAAATTGAGATGCGATCTACTTAGCCAAACACTTTCATAACTCCAGCAGATAAAACTCGACAAATAAATTTGTATTCGCATAAGAAACAGCTTCATTTGAACACCTACCGTTTATTCGTTGTAGGTATTTCAATTCGTTGGTGAATAGCAGCCGCACAGAGTAATGCATAGGTGAGGACGGTGCTTGTGTCAGGTCTTTGAATCAGCCTGACGTATGGCGCTAGGCCACGCATGATGAGAAGACACTCCTCCTTGCGAATCATTTTTGAATTTTTGGAATTAATCCAAAAAGCTTTATGAGTTTTACGCGCTAGTGTCTTGGACTCCTGTGCGAGGTTAGTGGGTTCTACTTCGAAACTTTCTCCGTTATGTTCCTCTGTCCTATGTGCGCCTAGTGGGTTGTTCGGTTTTAGCTTAGATCTACCGACTGGGTGTTTTTTTATGCGAGTCGTTCAGAGATAAATGAACCTTTCAAAATATTAATTGTCTCCATGCATTTTTTACCAACAAAATATCTTTGTATCCTAAAATATTATACCTCATTAAAAACCTGATTTTATGCTCTTTCTAACAATGAATTTGAATGTTGTCAAAAAAGAAATTTTTCTTCATCAATTCTGAGGTTCGTAGTAGATGTCAGAAATGAGTTTCCGTCAAATTTCCTTTTATGAGTTCAAACCCGGTCGTAGTGTAGCACGGCTCGAAATATTAATGAAGTCTGGGGTGAAGGTAGTGTTAGTGAATCAGCAGTGCTAACATGGCTTCGGAAATTCAGACCGCCACATTCAGCGGACCTCCGCCTACCGATTACCACTTCTTCAAGCACCTTGACAACTGCGCGAGAAATGCTTCGCGAAACCACGATGACGCAAAAAATGCTCTCAATGAATTCACCGCTTCCAGCACACCAGAATCTTGCGCAACTAAAATAAGTAAACTTGTTTCTTTTGGCAAAGATGAATAGATTCAAACGATTTTTATTTCAATTAATACACTGTTGCTTGAACCAAGTTATGACATTTTAAATAATATGGTTAAAAACGCTCATTTATTTCTGAGCCACCTAATAAGAAGTGCGGAGCTTCTAGAAATGATTAATCCCTTAAAGACGTGCCGTACATTCGGCTCCGTTTAAGTTCCATGGAGGTAAATGTAGATGCATTTGATCTATAGAGTGACCTATACAGTGACTTTTGGAGGCTTACCGATGTGTGAATGCAGCGTTTTTATCCACCTAAACAGGTCTAGCACTAACTGATCCGCCAGAGATGGAGGGTTCGATTTGCCTAGGGAGTAGGGTTAAACTAGCGTCCATGCGTGTACTGCAGGTCCCCGTTAACCAGTAGAGTATGCGCATAGCCTACAGGTATGTATTGCAGTAATTTGGAATAAATAAGCGTTAAAATGACAGCAAAAGCTTTGAGCAAGATAGAGCCTTGGGTTTATGGAAAGGACAAAACGATAATATGAAATTTATTTAGCTTCTCACAAAATTATCACATTTTATAAAGCAGAATGCTGCTGAAAAGATTAGGAACCATTGTGGGAAAAAAAATGGAAAGAAAAAAAAGGAAGGTGCGAAGAAAGACTGCCGTTTTTCGAATGGACTTCTGTCCAGTACAACAGCCGTTCTAGAGGTTGGTTTACTTTAACCTGAACTGCCGGATCACAAGAGCGAAGTGCTCCAAAACTTAAAGTGCTACATGCACACGAATGAACTTTCAAGCGATCAATATTGAGGCGAAACTGGAGGTGATAAACATCACATCTCTATGGACCTCCCAGTGATGATGTGAGAAATGTAGCCGATTGTCGAAGTGGCGAAGACATGGTTACAAAGAGGAACGCTAGTTCCATATAGTAAAAATGAATTGAGCAATACTGTGGTGGTTTTACGATGACTGAGATCTTTATGAGAAACTCTCCGTAGAACTTACGTGATCCAAGCAAATACAAATGAAGAGAAGTTTCCATAACATAGGAGGCTTCTTAGTTCATTGGCAAATGTCTCTGGTCATCAGAAACAGCAATTAGAACATTTCCGAACTTGATGATACCGCGGTTTCTCAATATTAACTTTTCATTTGCTGCCTACTACAGTTCTTTACGGCAGGGCATTATGTGGAATACAACCACAACGGGGCTGAGATATTTGGAAAACTCCGGACCGCAGGTGTCTGCGGTGGAGAACGAACGCGCAATTAACCTTTTCGAGGGCTAACGCGTTCACCACCACACCACGTGGGTCTTTCGTTTCACCTTTCTCTCATCTAATTACCACAGTTTCTCTTAAAAACTTTATTAAATGGTGATACAAATCTCAAATAATAAGTGATGTTTGCGAGTAAAACAAATTTCTGTTAAAAATCACTGCTTGTGGTTTAGATGGAGCGGTTCCGCTGGGACGCTTAGCATTGACGAAGACGCATTGATGTTGCACGCAAACGAGATGGCACAACTCTATTCTTCTCATGCGAAATACGAATTCTTTGAGAGTTTTTGAAAAAACTGACTTGACAAGTGGAAAGTCATGAAATGTTACTTGCCTCATGCGTTATCTAAGCGTCGCTTGTTATGGAAGACAACCAGAAAATGCTCAAATCCGATGCTCTAGAAACTTAACCGCTTAACGAGTCACTACTTTTCTTATGCAGAAACAGAAAGCTTCGAAAATAAAGTTGAAAAGTACTACAGTGTGGATTCCCGTTCATCCTAATACAACCTGATCAGTATAACCTCTACGTGTTTATGCTAAGAAAATCACAGCTATTCAAAAAAGCGTATCACGCCGCAAAATCTCAGGTCTTGTTCCGCTCAACCTTTTCTTGAAAAGACAAGATTGACAAAACGCTGGGCGAAGGACAGCTATGTGAATAAGCAAGGCTTCGAAAAGGGTGCAGCGCGATGAAGCGCATCCAAAGGATAACATGAGCTTCGTAGTCGAGATTTCGAAATTTTTTTGTCCGCTCTGAATTCCTGGGACCATGACATTATATCGACTTCATGCTAGCTTGCGTCTTATGAAAAGCTTATCTCCTATAGCTGTTTAATGGCCTATTTAGGGTTTCCAGCGTTAACGCAACGTGACAAGTCACTTCCAAAAAACTTTGTCATAGTTGAAGTTTTTTAATAGACAACTTTATAAGCACCAAGAAACCAAGAATATAAACGAGTGCCGAAGTGGCTCAACAGGTAGATACTCTAAACAAAACGTGCTTATAAACTTTATACTGTATGCTTATAAATTCGTCGTCATTTTCTCTCTCAGCAATCGCAAGGTTCTTAAACAGCATACGTTTACTTCCATACAATAAGGCACATACAACACAATCGTACAATGTAGTAGAGCCGTTTTTAGGTGCCTTCAGTTTCAGTTTTTCAGGCGGTCGCCAACCATATGCGACGTTGATCAGCTGCTCTTCCTCAGTGGAAGGTCTGGGAGGACAGCTAGGCCACCGCGAGCCATTGTGAAGGCCAGATTTGCATTCAATCACCTCCAACGATGCTTAATGAAGTCGAATGCATAGCGCATCCCACAGAGATTGATCAGCTTCGAGCGCTTTTTTTTAGTTTTCGTCTTCCAGTATCAATAACATCACTTAAGGAACAGGTGCGTTTATACGCATTAAATGGGTTGTCGAATAAATCGGCATTATATCCCGCACGTCCAGTCGACCTAAACTCTGGAAGCAAGTAATTGAAAACTACGTGGGAAGTGATTTAGTACCGCCCACAACAAGACATGTCTCATAGAGAATTCAGCGGTAATGTTCTTATCAGGTCCCTTGAAAAAGCGGCCTCAACGCAAACTTGGTAGGTGACATGTGCAAATGAAGATGTTTACGTTTCCATTTTGGCCTTTTCAACCCACGTGATAATCAATGAGACTGCAGGTGACGCAATTCTTGACAAATTTTTGGTGTGTAGAGATAAAAGTAAAGGATAAAGACTAAATCGTTCGGCGTTTATCGCATTTGTCATATCACACATGCGACATGCATTCGATTTTATAAAGCAGGTTAAACGTGATTGAATGCATATCTGGCCTAATCTGACCTATACGATGACTTGCTTACGGCAGCTTACCAAGATGTGCTAAGTTAGTGCTACTATTCTTCTAGATAAGTCTGGTTCCAATTTGTTGACGTCGGAGACTCGGTGAACCCGTGGCGTGGGATCGAGCCTGCGTGTATTTCAGGTGATCCGTAACCAGCGGGCTACAAACGCCGCTAAATGAAAAGTGTCATCCAAATCAGCAAGTATTTCCTTGCCGGAAACGATCATGAAGAAAGTGGTGAATGAAGCACAAATTGTTGCAATTCTCTCTGTAGCAGAGTAAAAATCTCAGACGAATATTCTTAAATCCAGTTCAATAAAAAATGTTCATAAAAGCCGATATGCTTCTTCTTTTCCTCACTCAATCCTTAACATTCTTGCTTTCCTTTTTGTTTAAATTCATTCTCTCTTCTTCCTTTCTATTTGATAAATCTTTGTTCTTCCTTAACTTGGGCTTTTTAACATCATTGCAAGCAAGCTAATTCTTAAGCAAAACTGTGGTTGTGGATCTTGCTTCAGTTTTATATAAATAATATAAAAAAGCTCACAATAAAATATCTATGTCACAAAATATGTAAAACATCAATACCTCAAATATATCTTTCCACGGGAAAAACGTATTGGATTTTTCTAGTTAAACCAAGCGAATCTTGAATAACTGTATAATTATTATTTCTAATGATATTATAATTATTGCTACCACTAGCGCTAATTACACTATTGCCTAGATCATATTAATGCAAACATTATCAGTTCTTTAAGTGACCACAAAAAATGAATGGCTTGGCCAACAAACCCAAACTGAATGCTGCTCAACGTGGGCGGCAGGTTGGCGCGAGTGACATTCCACATTACCGTACCCTCCTGCGGCCCCACTACTCCTCTCCCCTTGTGATCAAGATAGTGCAAAGGATCGTCGTCGTCTGAAATGAGCTATCATGAGAAAAGTACTGAACTGGTAGACAAGAAAAGAAGATGTGCAGGGAAAAAACGAAAAAATGAAAGAAGTAGAAATAGTGAAAAAATCTATCGATAAAGATTCTATCCACTAAGACTCTAAACACCCCTTTATCCTACAGCTTAATTACTTCTAAAAATAGAAGCATTAGAAACAGAGCTTCCGTACCTTATTCATTCCTAACAGCTTAAACATGCATTCGATTTCAATCGCACCATCATAGGGATGATCGAATGCATGTTTGCCCTGTACTTGCCGATGTATTAAATCAGTATTTTTATCATTTTAAGCAAATTCAGAAAAATGGGAGCTTTGGTTAGCCTTGGTACGACATGGAACCAACGACCAAGTGGGTATTGCAGAGCACCTCTGACCACTGTGCTACACACAGTCGTTTAAACGTACCATGCTTTAAACCACATCTGAGAAAACAGTAAAAACACCAGGTACAGAGAATAAAGGAAAATAATGGCTACAGAGTTTGCTAATTTTGTGGGAACTTGCCTGTATTAAACAATCCTATCCAGTCGATCATGTTTGCATCGTGTGACAATTTCCATGTAACAAACACCACCTGAAAATGAATTTAGCATTGAAAAAAGTCTGAAAACACTTGTTTTTAAAAGGATGTCTTTATAAAGGAGCGTGCAGGTGATAGCCATTTCAAAGTTGACTGGTATGGCATTGGCTTGAAAAAATTTTTCACTAGAGCGCTGGAAAACCTCATCAAGTTGTTTTGAGACCATAATCATTGCTAGTCACTGAACCTTGTGGATAAGAGGGACGATTTCACTATCAACATCGGTTTCTCTGAAAACGTTTTAGTCACCTAGGTGTAGTTTCAGCAGAAACACAAAATCATTCTTGAGCCTGGATAGCTTTTCTAGGAGGCCCCGCATTCCTGCACGTCGCTTTTCAACACCCAAGTACATTACGTTGGCAAATTGGTTTGCACGTTGGTAAATCTAGTAGACTATCCATTTCATAATGTCTTCCATAAAAAAACAAAAAAATAATTAAACAACTTAGCCAAGGTCCGTTCCCACCTGATTCAAATCTTCGCCTACATAAAGTAAATCGGTCGACACTCCTAGTTGAGTGTCGCGGATGGGTGGGATGGCGACCGATGGTGCACTATTTCGTCGAATCACAATCATGCATCACTGGAATCCTTCTCCAAAATGCCCTAAATTATAAGAAAGGAAAAAAAATGAAAAAACATTCTTACAGGAAGCGGAAATAGATGCGGTAATGTCACGAATTGAGAGTGCGATCAACTACGAGATCAGTCAGTGTCATGCACCGTAAGAGCATTAGAGCACAGTATCTGAAAATCGAAATCGGTTCTTCTCATCTTCAACATTCGGTGTGAGCTGTTAGAAAAATTGTGAAAGTAATTTGTTAAAAGCAGGACTAGCGATGAAATCCAGATACAGAAGAATTTCGCCGAGAAGAGAAACAGACATTTCGTTCAGGCAGGGAAGCCCGTTAATTTCCTTACATAAAGCTGTAATAATAGAGTAATTCTTATCATATTTCATAGTATGACTTTTTTCTACGGGTTAATGAATATTTTTCTCTCTCCAGCTTAATCACATTCTGCCAGGAATTTCAAAATCAGTTGAACGTAGGGCCACACAGAGTAGGGGATCGCACCTTCGACGTTCGACGACCGCTCGAACTAACTGAGCCTTGTAATACGTCGAGACTGGCCTCGTCAATCATCGACTAACTCCAAGAAGCATCAGTAAAGTTTTCATTCTTTATTGCAGCCCGTCAAAGCCACCAAGTGGGTCCTATTCCTCAAAAAATATGAAAAGGATCATATTTTTGCCACAGCGCTTCTTATATTGCCATTATTTGTTTTCAGAAGGTAGTCTAGAATGAGTTGCTGGTCTTCGCTGTGGCATATATTTACTCACAAGCGAGCGTCTGAATAGACGAAACACTAAAATCCTTTTCAAGTCAGGAAAACTTTATAGCAGGAACAATCTCTAGCTGTATAATACAAGGCGACGGTTCGGCGTTTAGGAGGACCCCAAAAGCCATAGTGCGGTATTAAGCAAGTGGGGTAAAGCAGTTGAAAAGGACGAAAGTTTCATTCTATAAAGAACCGTTCGTGACTTCAGCATTTTCTTGCACGACCAACTTTTTACGAATTGCTGCAAATTTATGAACTGAACACGAATATGAGATTGCTCAATGCAGCGATTGTTAGCCTTTTAAGAAATCTTGGCACTACTAAGTGGCTACTGTATTACTAAGGATGGAACGGAATAATAAGGGATAAGCGGACACAAAATTTTGGAGAGGAACACATTACAGAACATTATTCAAGGGCAACGTCCAGATTAAAGGATACAGCGGCAGCATACGAGCGGGAACCCTTTTCATGACGAATCGAAGAAAGTGAGGTTGAAAGTAAAGTGGTGTTCTAAGAAACAGAAAAAGACCTGGTTTCCATTTTTAAACGTTCAAATCAACTTATCAAGTAGCGGTTACATGACAAGGTGGTACCGAAAACCAAGCAGCAAAAACATCCTGGTTCATTTCCTCTCTTCCCACCTTTCGCACACAAAGAGAGCCATTGTGAGAACCATATTCCGAACAGCTACCTCTGTGTGCACAACCAGGGAACTAAAGGAAGAATCGCGCGACTTGGCTTGACAAATAGCCATCTCCAATGGCTACGAAATAATAACCACACGTGAGTTTAGAAGGAGCGCGACGCCCCAAACGAAACACTTGGTCAAAAAAAGTTCCGTTTATGTTGCCCTTTATTAGCAATGAAGTAAGCGTAGCTATAAAACGATGCTTAAAAAGAGCAAGTCAAGAGGAGGTAGCGAGCCGATACCACCGGATCCTCTACGCCACCGTTTAGTTCGCAACCGCCTGTATGACCGTCCATGTGAAACATCAAATTGCTTAATTTGCCCTTACGACAGGGACGGTGATTGCATGAGTTCAGGTACGACATAACTGATTTGTTGTAATAGTTACGGAGATGATTATATTGGCGGAATGGGCAGACCTTTATGTATCCATATAAAAAAACAGCTAGATGGCAAGCGAAAAGCAACACAAACTACCCCACAAGGCACGCATAGGATACAAAAGCTTAGCGGAGACGATTTTGATGTAAAAGTCAATATCATGGCACAGGAGACTAAAGCACCAATGCGCAAACTGCTTGAAGGTTTTTGGATAAATGCCAAAAACCCTATAATGAATAGTAGGGAGGAATACCCAGGGGTCACACGCGACCTGGCCCCGTATCTTCGCATCAGTTTCTGATGAGGTATGGTGCAGTCATCAACCATATGCGACTACAATCACCTGTTCTAACCTTCCTTATTGGAAGTCACGTGAAATGCGGTGAGATTTTCGAGAAGCTGTTGATCATGTAATTGCCATGGAGTTTTTTGTCCTTTTTAATTGTTATTGAAGTTTGGCCTAGTAAATTGTATATCAGTATACCCTTTCAGGGTCTGAAGAAGGGGCACTGCCGACCAAAACATCAGCTACTGTTCAATATGTATTCTTTCTTTGATGAGCTCACACGAGGTTGACAGTGATATTTATTTTCGGCTGTTTCGATGTCTTCGTCTTCCTCAGAGTCGATGGTCCACGCTTGTTATTCGTCTCGGCGTGGCAGCTTCGCCTTCGTGTCGAGTCAGGTCTTCCTCAGTGAACCATCTCCTCGAATAAGGCATCCTCACTCAGTGATGAGGTTTATGCAGGTTGCTGATGGTGGATAGCTGTGATTATTCGGTGATAGTGTGATAATAACTTGTTTTTCCTGGACAATGAAACCTGTAGAAGTCGGTTTTATTATCAGCTAGCACAAAGCGTTGTAATATTTCGAAACCGACTTTCCTTGAACATCGGTATCGCTAATCAATATGTATTCTTTCTTTGATGAGCTTACACTTAGCAGCTTAGCTTTTCGCTTAGCTTCGAAATATCAGCTACTGTTGTTTTGTATTGTGTGATTTTCTATGGAAGTAAATGTATGCTGTATAACAACCTCTCGATTGCTGAACAAAAAAACAACGCATTTATAATCCAATGCCGAGGTTAATAGAAAGTCGATCCTCGGAGGCCAGATAGCATCAGAGCCAACTTCTCTTGAGGTATAAGCTAGAAATTACACACACTCGCCGGAATTCGCATGACAACATGTCTTCACAAAAAAGGTATCTCATAACTGTCAAAAGCGTTCCAAGAAGAATAGCGGTAGGGGCCTTCGTGATCACCATTCGGTTTGGTTGTTGGCTCTATTCTGTAAGCTTTTCAAAAATAATCCTAGCACATTAATCGAAAGTTTTATATGAAATTCGCCCACTAAGACAAACAGAATTTTAACGAAAATGCTTATGCATTGACCAAATGCGGACGGTGACCGTGATAAGAGAAATTCACTGTGAGCATGAGGCGCACTTTATGCTATTCTTTCGTCAGTGCGAAAAAGCGACTGTGTCGACGAGCACCATTATATTAGGGTTCTGTGACGACGGACTTCACCGATGCTTCAAAGGACTCAGTTATGTGGCAACTATATCGAAGAAATATGGCGACTACAGCTGTAGGAAAAGTAGTCCGACCGTGCAACAATACCTTGGCGATGGTGTTTACCACTCTGCTGTGGTGAATAATGAAATCACTCAACTGGAGCCACAGAAATGTGCGCGCATTAATGCCGAATTCCTCCAAGATCTCTGTTCTGCTGATGAAATGCCCATCTCTTCGAGTACCAGTGAAGCTGAGACAGTCATCAAGTCCTTGAGGAGCCCATTGAAGTAGACCAGAGCATGCGGCTGGTCATGGAACAGAATAAAATCCAGAGAAGCCGTGATTCCATAGAAAATGTATCAAAAGCTATCACGTTTTAATCACAGAAACCACTTTCAACATCTATCAACGGTGCTAAGTTGACGTGGTGGACAAAGAGGACAGAATTTATACTCGCCCACCTTTCCAACTCGATTTTGTTTTCAACGTTTGCGCAGCTGAGACATGAGTTAAGACTTCAAGCCACTCAAAAGATTTGGGCTGCACCCACAAACGCTAATGTCATCGAAAATATAACTGCTTACAAGATAAAGACGTACTAGACATTTCATGAGATATGTTATCAATGGAATCCTAGAGAATACATTGGAATCGTACCGTAGATGCGTAAAGAGAATAGATAACAACAAAAAGACGAAAAGAACGGTGGAATATGTCCTAAGATAATTTAAGTGCTCTGTGTGGCCACCATAAATGTTATGCGAGAATGTTTGCGGCAGATGTCAATTAGCTCCATTCACAGCCGTAAACGATCTAATTTTTATCTTGGAATGATGCCCAAACATCATCACGCTTGAAAAAAGCCACCATCATGGGCAAGCACTGCACTAACAAGGTAAGGTCTAGAAGATGAAGTGTTCGGGGCGCTGATCGGTTCCTAAAGGATACACCATGTATTTACCTCTTTCTGCATTAACGCAAGGTATATGTATAGGTATATTGTATATATTAGACCTATTAGCTCCACGACGTATCATATCAGTTTTTTTTATTAAGCCAAGCAAATCTATTACCGATTTACCGATATCGGGGTGATAGAAGACTTTGTCAGCCTGGGACGTGAGATGAACTCACGCTTTTCAAAGCGTCTCTGACCTCTGCGCTACAATCTCAACCTTTTATTTACTGCCTACTTTTTTTAATGGCAAGGTATGCTGCGAAATATAACCTCTATGATGCTGAGATATTTGCAAAACTCCGGACCGCAGGTGCCCACAGTGGGGAAAGAACGCGCTATTGTCCTTTCCGGTGAGTAACGCTTTCACCACCACACCATGCGGGTCCTTCGTTTCGCCTGTCTCTCAGCTAGTTCTATCGATCTTTTGCCTTCAGTAAACCCGTCAACGAGATTGATCTGGGGAAGACAGGCGAAACCAAGGACCCGCATGGTGTGGTGGTGAACGCGTTAGCTCCCGGAAAGGGTAAGAGCGCGCTCCTTCCCCACCGAAAGCACCTGCTGTTTGGAGTTTTGCACATATCTCAGCATCATAAAAATGTGAACTTCGTTGTTAAAAAATTTTAAAGGTTAAAATTTCAGATATTAAAACAGTTGTTTTTTGGCAGATCTACTTCTACGAATCCAAAC